ACGACACTGAAACAGGTAGACAAGAATGAGGTGGGAGTGAAGGGGGATGTGGAGCAGTTAGAATCTAGTGTAGAAGCGGAATCAATTTTGGAAGACCATAAGACATATGATGTTGAAGGTGCTGATGAAGTGCAACGCAACATTGATGAAGCTGAAGTTGAGGAAGTAACGCCTCATGAGCAGATCAATGTTCCTGAAGACGCGCAGTCATCGAGGTCTTCAAGAACATACGAAGGGGAAGATCAACATTCGTATTGGTTGGGTTACAATGGATATGTTGCATACGACTACTTCAGGTGTGTGCAACACGTCAACATGAAAATGCAGCCACAGTGGCAGTGGTTTTTCCGTCAAACACGTTGGCCTTTCCGATTCGCTCCACAGCAGAATGTTGATGTGTCTGCGCATGAGAATCGGATCCCGCCATGGCGAGCGAGTGTCGGGCGTCTGCTTTCGGATGTCTGCAATTTTTGTGCGAGAAATCGCCAAATGCAAAATCTCATTCTTCTCGATCCCTTGGTAAGTGGTGTGTGTCGTTTAGTGAATTATTCTTGCATTTGTTTTCGATAATAGTGGTCACGAATGAATCTGCAAGCGAATCTTAATTAGGAGACTGTGCGTCTTCGGTGTGTCTTGAATATCAAGTGCTATGGTTTAATTTACAGGCACTGTCACCACTTTCGCCACTGCTAAATCTGATGCGGCTCTCCGTGGAAACAAAAGCCCATCTGATTGGTGTTCTGTGGATGACCCTATTTAATGCTCTTTCTCCCTTTCACCACGTCCCTATTCCACGTCAAGAGGTGGCTACTGGGGCAGAGATGGAGCATCCCTTTCCACGACCACTTTATCTGCGATTGCTCACTCTGACAGCCTTTCTGTCCAATTGGCTTGCCTGGTTCTCTCGAATCGAGACCTATTCGTCCCTTGGCACGTCTCGTCCTCCACCAGCAGCTGTGTCCGACCCAGTGGCAGGATGCGTGTTGCGACCATACACTTTGGGTTGCGGTCAGTCTCCCCTTTTCGATCTCTGGCCGCTTTGATTGGCTCGTCGCCTGCCGCTTCTGCCCCTTCATTTACCTCGACTGTTTGGCGGGCACATATCGCGATACTTCTTTCCTTTCACTGACGTGGATGAAATATAATTCCAGTCATTTGATTTATTTATTTTTGCTAAGTCACCTGCTCTACGTTTTTACTGACAGGTCTTTATTTATTATTTTGTACCTCTACATATGCATTATGAAACATATCCAGAGTGGCAATTATCGTTCTGGTTTAGTTTTGCGTTTACGAAGAGCTTCGAAATATGTGCAATGGACCAATCACTCTTTTTTCCGCCACGGTGGAATCAAGTAATCTTGTCAAACAAAAATCTGAGCAAAATCAACATAAGCAGGGGTCACGCTGCCTCGCAACATTATTGACCGTGACATCGTAACTCGTGTCCAGTCGGGACGAAAATGTGCAAAACTGTGCTGACCGGACTTGCGGTGCACCTTTGAAATCATTGTTCATGCCTGTTGCAGTAAAGCTGTCTCATTGACGGGCGTTCATGAATTTGTCATATTTCTCTGTGAGCACTGCATGTGTCAATCAGAGACACTCACATTACTTCTTAGGCACGAAGATAAACCACCTCTTGGGGTGACATTTGTGGATTTTCGTTGTTTGCTTGCAAAAAGTAATAATAAACTGTTCAGTATCTATGCTGCAAACAACTAGTAAAAACCTGTGCTAAAGTGTTATTGCTAGGTGCTGTGATCAATGCTTTTACACATCCACAATGTGGCATTCAGCAATCGAACCAGACTAGTTAGGCAATAACTCAGTGCTCACATTGTTGAAGCCTGTGAACTTGTTTCTTGTTAAGCACATTGTTCCAGCTATTCGTGTTCTAGTTGCAGACATGCGTTGGTCTCCTAATTTCCGACGCAGTTGATTTTGTGCCTCTACAGGTGCATGATAAAATGTATCCAAACTTGCAACGATCGTTGCTGTGTGGTTTTGCATGTGTGGATCAGTCACTCACACATGCAGTGAATCGCGTATTTTTTGCGAAGCTAAAAATGCAATCAGTATTTCTTCTCAAGAAGCAGCTGATAACAAACCCTCATCGTCAGTCTCTGTTTTATCCGTAAAGTGTATGCCAAAGATGATTAATGGGTCAGAATGAAACGGACACTGCCGCACTTCTGTCCGTCCAGTCGGGTGTCCCTCCTCTGCAAACATGCCGGCCTGCCAGTGTGACATACTGATTGGTGTTTCAGTAGCTCGTCCACTTATTAGTTGTCTCACTTAGTAGAATGGGCAAGCTGCGTCAGCGCAGACGACCTTTGTACGAAAAAAAAGCAAGAAACTTGCTGCGTGAAGAGAGGAATTAAACTGCGTTTTCAATTGCGACTTCTTACTCTGACAGCCCCCCTGTCCAATTAACTTGTGCGGTTCCCTTGAATCTAGGCCTGCACGTCATCGAGCAGATCTCGCGTTCCGCTTGAACTCATGTACCACCGTGTTGTTGGATATGTGTTGGGACAATGAACTGTGGGATATGGGAAATCTCTATTTATCAAACTGCGGTCGATTTAATTGGCCCGATGACTGTTACTTCTTCCGTTTAATGTACCTCAACTGCGTGGCAGGGATATCTTGAGACAATTCTTTACCCTTACTTACTTGGACGAAGCATAATGCCAATTGATTTTTCTATTTTTTATGCCAATTGTCTTACCTTTTAAACTGGCTCGTTTTTAGCATATTTATTTTAGCATTCTGCTTGTACACACGCATGCAAATAAGTTCAGATTTGCCACT